GATTTATTAAAGTAATGTGTATTAACGGGATCGAAACCAAATCAATCTTTTATGTATGACACCCGCTTCTCATGCATAGGGGTGTGGATGCAAACCCACCAACAGCAAGTACCTACCTGACTTACTCCGAGTTATATGTACTTTCTAAGATCATTTAGACACCACTGACAAACGGTGAATGAAAACATCGTGAGGAAACCTAAGCTTATGATTTCTAATTATAAGTTTAAAATCGTCAACTCGCAATGAGCAAGCGTGGTGATTAATGCTAAAACCTACTCCGTGTGAGAAGAGCTTGATGCCGATGTCTAAAAATTGATAAGCTCTTTTTGAAGAACGATTATGGTTTTATGATGATGACATTCGAATAAATACTATTTACTAGATTTTAAACCTAAAGACAAGACAACCAGAACTGTTACTGAAGTAGGATACTAGGGTAAAAAAAGAATTTTTAGTCATTAAAGAGTCTGACACTCCCTCCCGCGTCACACAGGCTGAAGAAGTCATTCGATAATTTTATCTACTCAAAAAAAAAACTGTTTTCTTACTGATCGAACTCAGGAGCTTTACAAACGCACTTAATAGTCATCAGCAGATAAATGAAGTCAACATTTATTTTACATCAAAAATAACAGTAAGGATTAAATGCAAAAGGTCGATGATATTTTATTTCAGCATAATTTGTTGTGACAGACATTCAATTAGGTCGACTGTCGCTTATAAATATTGATCAATGTAATTAAAAGTACGTTAATTTCATTAATACAAAGATAACGATTTATCTCTATTAAATAATGTAATTAACTTGGTTCTGTCAGTGGCTTCGTTTGTTTCCGGGATAAAAAGTATAATTTCAGCCTATGTGTTCCAAGTCTTATTTAGATGCGTTCAGTAGTTTTTGCATGACAGATATACACATAATACATTCCATACATCCTCACAAACTTCTAATCACATTAGTTCAATAGAAAAAATAGTTTATTTTTAGGAGATTAGCAAATCAAACCAATATGCCTTACGCTCTATTTTCAAAATCGACAGTCAAAGATTTCGAAATTAAAAAGCTAATAATATTTTTTAACAGTCCGAGGTTAGTCCTCATACTCGGTCACTAAGTTGTGACCAGCATAACTAGAGCTGCAAAAAAGTGAAGGAGTAATAGAGTAAAACTAGGCAAGTAGTACTACCTAAAGTTTGGAGACAGTTTAATATGCCTATGAATCTTGGTAAGCAGAAACTTTGCATGTTAGATCAGAGAGTCCTGTTTTTTTATTTATTAAGTATATTTGATTTTGTGTTATTGGTCTGGTCCTCAACTTTGATTATAGATTCTACTTTCATGTCTCATGTACAAGATTTAGTACAGATTTATTCATATTAAAATTATGAGTATGATGACCAGTGTAGTATCTACATAATTATGTTGGCACTATTCACAATTTAATATCATCTAGAGGTAGAATCAATCAAAGTCCAGTCACAAATATCC